ATCTTCAAGGCCAGTCATTGGTCAAGTACACTGTCTGAGGATTAAATCAATTCAAACAAGCTCCTGTATTCATTTTTTTTAAATAAAAAATTTACTCTGAATCTTATGTTCATGGTGGTGGGTTTTAGTATTATTCGAGCAATTCTAGTTTGAGATATGCCTGCGTTTTAACCTTGTATGTCCAGGGGTGAATTGAATGGTAGAGCGGGCAAGCTGAAGGGCTATTGCTTAACATCACTGGTGTTGATTCCTAATGGTTCGGTTGGCAAAACGAATGTTTTTGGATAAATACGCCCTCAAAACCAGGTTGAATGTACACGTCTGGGTCATGTGGAATCAATGCATGTTTTTTGGAAGAGTGGGGTTATCTCAGTGACCTGGTTCGGTTTCAGTCTCTGTTGTGGAAGAATGTCGCTACAGAGTCCAGTGGTGTAAAAGCTATGAGCCCTCAGCGGCTAAAACCAGGGACCTCGGACATTAAGGTGGTCCCTGGGATGTTCATGACACCATAATACGTCCTTAGATATCAAAAACACCTAAGTGGGGGCTGGCCCTGTATCCCACTGAGACTGGACCCAGCCTCCAGAGTAGAGGGCTAAATAAGACTTTAGCCAGGGGCCCCAGGCACCTTTAATACCACTGACCCGATTCCTATATGTGATAGCTGTGACACTCACTGACCACAGCACCTCCAATTCAGCACAGTTACACTACAAAATACAAGCTAATTATCCTACATCTCTAGATCCGTACCTCATTCGCTAGCTCTGTATCTGCTGTTGAAACTAAATTTTTAAAATATAAAAAATAAATTCAAAATACATTTAAAGAAGCCAAATAGATATAAAAATTATTTTCGCATCCATTTTTTTGGAAATATGATCCCCTAATTTTATTTAATTTTTATTTTACTTTTTTTTTTACCTAGAGCACTTGAGATCATTGGTAGATTTATGTATTTATCAATTAATACAGGTGCGAGCTTTGTGTAAACAAAGCAGAAACAAAAATATAATCAATTTAAAACTTTTCAGTATTATACTAATGGAAATTTTAATTCTACATAATGCTAAAATAATGTACTAATCTTATATTAGTGCACTTAAATTGGCCAGATTAGAGCAGGCCTACTAATATAGTACACTAGAAAAACAAACCAGGGTTTCATTACTTTTTGTGACTGGGAATTTCCTAACTAAATATAATCACGAAAGCCTTGGAAAATATAACTTGAAAAAAACTAACCCTTGACTTTTCAACCGATTAACAAATGTATGCCCATATATGGAAATTCTAGGTCAACTTGAAATTTTGAGGACACTACATTATTACAAGTAGGTATTACTCATAGATGGATCAGCTCAGAAATAATGTCTTCATTAAAATTTCAAAATCAGTGTAGGCTTACATTTTTTTTCCCTTTTAGATTATATTGTATAAAAATATGATCTTTTAAATATTTTAGTGCATAGAAGTGGAAGGAAGTGTGTTGTGCTTTTCAGGTATTAATAAAACATTGTATAAAGTATCAGATGCCATGAATTAGCTATTAACTCCATCAACAAGCATAACAGAATATATAAATAGGCTATAGTACACACACTACAAGCATATTATGCCAGCATTTATTGAACAATTTAAAATAAAAGTTACAATTAAACACAAATAGTGGAATACACATACACACACTTTTTTTTCTTCTTTATAAGAACCAGTAAAATTTCGCCCAGACTCAGTGTTCTGATTTTTTTGCCGATTTCAATCTCAAAATGTTCTTATTTCATTCTTATTCTTATACACTTTTTAAACATAAAAAATAAATATTATTTTACAGTTGTCAGTGGGCCTATAGACTGTACTGTATTATTATAGAGGTATTACATAGTCTCATCTACTGCACATGAAGGATTTCTTTTTTTTTTTCTAGGTTAAAAAAAAAAGAAAGCCTAATTTGACATTTTACCTCAGCCTCAATTTGTTCTTATATTGTTGTTAATTTTTAAGCGATTTCAGCCTCAGTGTTCTTATAAAATGTGATCTTATAAATAAAAAAAAATGTATACTCACTCCCACCCACACATAGCAATATTGCACAATGAGCAGTTAGATTATAATGATCCCTGAACGATCCAATGCAAGACAGTGCCCATGGGAACAGTTGACTCCCGGTGGAAACAGTTGGATATAATTTAATATGAGGCATCCATGTCATCACACACATCAGACGACAGGGAAATGAACACTAAAATTATAGGGGAAAAGGTTTAGGCCAAAAAAAAAAAAGCAAAAACAGAAACTACTGTACACTAATAATAGTTGACTAGTTTTGTTGCTTGATTTATATCATATTCAAATCATAAGAAACAAATTAATTGTATAGGCCTACAGGTGATATTATTAAAGATAGTATCTATATTATTATTACTATACGAATATCAACAGTATTATTATTCTTACTATTATTAATATTACTTTTATAACCATCATATTATTTTCGTTATATTATTAGTATTATTATTGATAGGATCATTAATATAAAGTACAACAGTTGTGTCGTCACAGCACCGGGTGGCGCTCTTTGTTGTCAACCAGACGTTGGTCACCGTTCATTACGCCTGAATGACTTCATAATCTTAATGGTTTAGAATACGCTTTCTGGAATAGGCATTTTAAAACCTAATAATTTACCATCAAAATGTACTAAAAACACAAAAGCTTGTATTATATTAGTTATCGAACACAACATTTAATCAACAATTAAAATTTACAAACAAAAAAACTAAGATAAAACATCTTAATAATTACGTTAGAAATTGGGATCAATGGTTTGTCAGTAGGGAAAATAGCGTCCGGTTGAAAGCATTTTGTGTCGCCAGTAGAAACGGAGTAGTATCACATGGTATTGTGACGTAAACACTGTAGTACTCTATTACCAAAACTATGTTCTTATAGTACAAAGTTGATCAAAAATCAAAAAGATTTTACATATTAATATCTTATTATATTATATTATATATAATACTGATAATTGTGTATACACATTTTTTCAGTATCAAAACAAAACACTCATCATACCCAGCAGTTAAAAAACAGGTGATTTAAAAATTTCATATTCTTTAAATAAGGTATTAACACAAAACTTGCAAACAAGAACAGAAATTTAGGTTCTATCTTTAGTTCTTGTTCCCTGCCCCCCCCCCCCACCTTGCCTTCTTTTAAGCCTAAGGCATTCTTTAATTTTTCCTTTACTTGGCAGGCACGTAAACCAGGTTCATGGGAAGGGGAAAGGGGGGGGGGGGTACCTATAGACAAAGTTTAACTCAGAAGTGTGTTTTCATAACCTAGTTAGGATAAAATAATAGTAATAATAATTCCATACTTCTATAGCGCATTCCGCAAAAAGGATCAATGCGCAAAAAGAAAAGAAAACAAACAGTAAATATTTTTGACTTAAACTACGGTACTTAAATTTAAACAGTTCCGAAAAAGCATTTAATTACACTACACAGTAGTAAAATTTCAAAGAGTATTTAGCCGAACCCCTAAAATTCCCCTTTCGTTACGGGTCATCTTGGAGTCTTCATAGACAACAGGCTCGCAATGTCACTGCTATTCATGAAACTTTCCGTGCATTATTAAAAAATGATGACAAGAATAACGGGATGTAACTGAACAAATGTAGCTACAATTCTGGGTCAAATTTGAAATGTATCTGGTGATATGTAGGGCAACAAAGGAGGACAAAAATACTGTCGTTGCCAGGAAATGCCGGTCGCTTAATGGGAATATCCTCAAAAGGATGGATAATCCAGCATTTTAATAGAATGTGTATTTATAATTAATTTGTATTCCTGGTTAGATTAAAAATGACTTCCTTTCACTTTAGTCTTTGTTTCTGTAACGTTTATCAAAACAATAGTAATGAGGTACAGTATTATCTAATGCGTTGTTCAGAATGTTTAGCCGAGACTTTTTTTATACCTAGTTTAGTGAATGCGCTGCCCGACAACAATGATGATTTTTTTTTAAATAAAATTTTATTTTTGGCCAATTAGCGCACCCGCTGCCACAGAAAAATAGAAATTTCAGAAAAAAAATATATCTTTATTTTTATTATGGCCATCGCTGCCTTGAAATCTCCAAAAATAAGCTATTTAACCATTCCATTACTACACAGTTTACAATCATCAATAAGGCTAAAAAAAAAAAATTATACTTGTTTAGCGTCACCGCCCGACCCTGATTTTGTAGCCGCCTCTCATTTTTTTTTTTTTTTGGTAAAAAAGTGCTGAAAATCGACTAAAAAATTTAGTGTCTGTTATAGCCTTTGTAAAAAATTTGACTTGGCACCAATGCAGTTTTTGAAATCTCTAGGCCTAAAAAGCCTACACACTAGCTAGGCTAGACCTAAGTCAGCAAAAAAAAATTTTTTTTAAATAAAAAAATCCCCCCCCCGCCCCTGAAAATTTCTGAGGGTGTGACGCTAAACAAGTATATTTTTTTTTTGGCCTAACATTTTTAATTTTTACTTTCTCCTCCATATGGATGTTTTTGGCAATAATTAAGAAAACTAAATTTTATTTTAAATTTTTTTTTTGCCCTCCTCTGACGATCTATAAAAAAATAAGTTCACGGAATAAAGTATAAATGAAGTCTCGCCTACAGTGTTGAAGAACGTTATCGTTATTCAATGCAAATTCCAGTAGATTAGGCTTCGCTGTCTGTTATACTCCACACGTACGCTACAGTACATGCAAATATCGGTCTAGACAAGTAATTTCAAAATCAATTCCATTATGGCAATGACAAAAAGCCCTATGCTCTTAGATGTTGAAATATTTTCATCTGGTTTCAATAAAAGCCTAATACTGTATTGTAATTTAAATTTTCTAAACCACATTAAATGATGAGTACTATGCTCTGTTTGACAGACATAGTATTAAGTCTAGTTATTATTCGAATATACTGTAAAAAAAACTGTATTTTTTCATTCCTTTTAGTGTCAGAACCCTGTATTAAGAGCAAGTAAATCTGATGGAAGTGCATGATGAGTACTACCATGAGGTAGGTGGCGCCCTATTGGAAATCGGCGAACTCAAAATTGCATTCAAAACTAAAAAATGCATCATAGAAATGCAGCACGCATTCGATACGAACACCTTTTATTGCCTTTTGAAGGACGCCCTCTAGATCGTGGTAGCACTTTTCGAGAATCAGTAATAGGCAATGGACACCCGCACTTTATATTGAAAAGACTTGACAAAAAGAAACACTACTAAGAAGATAGCAAACATTTTCAAGTATGTTACTGGTCACAGTTGTTGTATCATGTGTTTGTGTTGGCAAACATGAGCTATCTTTTGTAACTTGCTCTAATAACAATAAACTACAAAGCTTCAAGTGGGTTGTGAGTAGGTGATTAAAGAAATGAATGGCTTGATGTCAACAAGGTTTAAAAACAGGAGTTTATCATTCTATATAACTTTTAACAAGGTCAAATAATATATAATAAAACTTCTATTCTGTGTTAGGCCTTATAAAAAATATTATTAGTTTATCACCTTATCTGAGCAGGAAAAGTGATGAGGGAGGGAGGATTTTTTTTAAATTTTTTATTTTGCTAAAGCCAAATATAACCCTTGGTTTGTTCGCCGGTGCATTGATATTCAAAGCAAAACATGATTTAGATAATGCAAACAATATCTACTATTTAATAAAATAAATGAAAAAATAAATAAATAAAATAAAAAATAAAAAAGTTTAAAAAAATGTTTTCAAACAAATTTTTTTTTTTCAGTACCATAAAAGGCATGCGCGCAAGGGTGATAAACTAATAATTTTTTTTATTGGGCCTTATCTATTCTGTGTTACAAAAAATAATTCTTTATTTACAATTGCTTTTACTTTGTTATACACTATAGAGTACTATGTTGTTACGTCACAATACCATGTGATATTATTCCGTTGCCGTCAGCAACCAAAAATGCACTTAAACGGATCCATTGCCTCCACGGACAAACCATTGATACCAATTTCTAACATAACTAATATGATGTTGTACCAAGTTTCTTTGTAAATTTTAATTGATGATTAAATATAAGTTCAATAACTAATATATGGTGAGCTTTTGTGTTTTTAGTACACTTTTTTGGTTTCCATTAAGATTATGTCAAAGTTGACAACAAAATGCGCCACCTGGTGTTGTGACGACACTTGCGTGGTACTCTATATGTGGCAAAGACAAGCTAAACCAGTCAATCGTTGCTTGTTTTAGAGATAATGGCCAAAACATGCTGAAATGTTAAAATATTTGAAGTCTATATTATTGCACTAAACTAACCTTTATATATCTACACATCATGCTATGCTGTTATTTTCCTCATTTTTAATGATACAACAACAATTTTTAACATTTTGGTGATGGTTTCTGTCTGAGAAAGGCCCGCAATCATAAACTTTGAAAGCTGATTTCTCAAATATTGTTCATTAAACAGCTGTGTGTTTAAAAGTTTGTAACTTCATAAGGAAATGTCTGATTTGGATGATTCTTTTACCATCTTATAGCCTCTCACTTCATCTTCAACCCTGTAATAATAACTCATACTAGAAATTGCAAATTGCAAGTGAAGTGCTGTGAAGTACAACTGCATATAAATGTTCTTCGAACAAAATTATTTATGCGAGTCAAGTGAAAATAATGAATAATACAACTATAACAAATAATATGAGACACGACCCCATTGTCTATAATTATTAGAACACTTCTCATTGGGTAACAAAGTCGTAATTTTTCATTTTTGTCAAAAAGTGTCTATAATGTGGTGAATTATGGTTTAGGTTTTTTTAAATAAAGTTTCAAAAATTTCTATGTATGTGGAAAATGTAGTTGATTACCAAAGGTTACAATTTTTATTTTGAAGACTGCATGGTCTAGGAAGTGTACATTTTTTTATGGGGTAAATTTCCAAGGGTGATTTTACCCGGCAGAACGAAAGAAGGAAACTATGCTTTTCAGTCGTCTTAGGCACTCGTTTTTTGACAAACAATGACCTTTCAGAGGTCAAATTGCTGTCAGGAATATGAATTGGCTGCTTCGCAGCAATTACACCAATACAGTACTGTATACGGTTATTGTATAATTGTTTTGTATAACTTTTAGTTTCTTTTAGTTTAGTTGTTTTTCTTTCTCACAGAATGCACCAAATTGTTGTGTGCCACTGAAACAAAAGCTTGGCTTGTCTTTGCCACATGGCAAAATGCTTTAAAATCTGTTAATGCAAGGTACAGTGGGTAGGGGGTCTCCGAGAAATTAACAGAATTAGCAGACTAAAATTTAATCCGGCCTGTTTTAAGTATGCACGGGAGTCTTTAACCGGCGGACTACACAACGATTTCTGGGCTAGCTAAAAACAAAAATTTCAAAGTATACAATGCAAGGAGAACGATAGAATAAGTATAATAAACACTATTTTGAACAATCGTATTGCCTTTCCTTGCCATTTATTTCTCACGTTAACAGGTGGGTGGTTGTTTTCGAAACCAAATATTACCTTTTCTTATACTTTCACACTGATAGCACTGTAATGTTCTCCATAGTACACTTACCGTAGGTCACATGACAAGCTGTAAACAAACATCGCTGAATCACTCTATTGCCACTTTCATAGGCATTTTGAAATACCTTTAAGCATAGTAGGAAGCACTGTATTCAGTGTTGGCTCTAGGATTACAGTGAGGGGATAAACTATTGAACAGGGGTCTGAAAATTTCTGGAAAGCCCCCTCAGGGCCTAGGTGCATCCACATGACATCCACATTCCCCACCTTTACCACCTCTGGCATCGCCACAACCTTTAATACAGTAATGTACTGTAGTAACTTTCCTATCATTATTTCTGAAAACAACTTTGTTTTTAGTTTTAAAAAAGATAAAATAAACTATAATTTAATGTGAGTATAAGACTCATCCTCTCTTTCGTTGATTGAAAATGTAATCATTTGTGATCTCTGACATCTGTACCATAATTGGCTAAATTGTATAGTAGAATTTAGTCGAGGATCCTAGGGAGAGGGAAGATGCATCTCCATCGGCATCTAAAATTAACTGTCAAGATTGGTTCATTACTAAATGTAAAACTTATAATTTTTGTATACAGTAAAACGTCCATTTTACGTACCCCTTGGTACCAAGAAGTATTAGTAAATTGAAAAATTTGTAAACTAGATCAGGTGTCAGTTTCCAATACCTAGCTACCCCTGCCATTGAGCGCCGATAGGCTGACAGCGCCCAGGCCTAGCACGAACCTACAGTGCAGCAGTGTGGTCTACCGCGCTAGAGCTTAGCTGAATTTACCTTCGATAAAAACCAAATAATTTTAATCACTGGCATTCTTCCACTTAACAAAATTTTATTTTATTAAAGTCTTATTCAAACATCTGTATGTTTTATGGCCCTTGTATCGTGTTCTTTCTAGTTGTTACTAATGTTAGATCACCGAATTGTGATGTTAACATGCATTTCGCAATCATAACTAGTATACACGATGTCATTAAGTTGCTGACCCCAACACTTTAGTTCGTCATCGTAAACATATGCGCTGAATCTGACGACACTTGTGTTGGTAGTTCGTTGTTCCGGTTAGGTTTATTACATTAATATAATGATTATTATACCAGAAAAAGAAGAAAAGATCAAACTATTGATAAATAAATACAACAAACTTGATTTTATTAAGAAAAATATACATCACTTTGTAAAACGAGCACAATTGGACTTGATTACGGTAATAATTGGTTGATGATGGCGTCATCAGGGGCAAAAACCATTCGTAAAACCAACTATTTGTAAAATTGATGTTCATAAAATGGACGTTTTACTGTATAGTATATCAAGAATTTATATGGTGAAATTACCAATTCAAAACCTTGTGGAAATATTAAAAAGACTATTGCCTAATATAGATTTACCCTTCATTGTATTACTAATCTATGTACTTCAAGGTCAACTTTATCTCTGTTTTATTATTCTTTGTTACTTTCCATTCACATGAAAATATTCAAAAGACTTCATAACAATGAGGGCTTAACACGTTGACTGCCAGACCTTTTTTTACGGTTCATTCCCGTGTGCCAAAACAAGTTTATATGTACAAACATGCTTTTTTGAAATTTTATCTAGTCATATGTCATCAAAATGAAGTGTCGGGAAAATATTAGGGGGCGAGTATACTCGTCGATGGCACTGTGATAGAACTTTTTACTGACTATGCCAAGTGCGAGTTATCTCGTCCGCTTTTTGCATGGGTTGGTATATGTTCAAAGGGCGCCCCCACTTGTACCGCTCGAGTGTACTACCGGCAAAATAACACAACGGACATATATATGTCATTTGTACGTTATCGTATAGGTGTATCTTCCCCGAACTACCAGCCGTTGAGTCTGTGGTTCTACAATGTATAATAAAGAAGTTATAAACGCTAGAATGTTTCCCCCGATTTGACGAGTATACTCGTTCCTGGCGCCCTCAGCAACACCCTGTGAGCGAGTATACTCGTCGCTGGCAGCCAACGTGTTAAATTTAGATGTAACAACAGTACCATCTTTTTCTTTTATAATTTTTCATTCAAAAGACTGCGATACTACTAGACTGAGACTAGAAATACAACACCTACAAAGAAGGCTTACAAAAAACTCGGGTACTTCAACACTAAACTCTATACCGGTAAAGTTAATCTGTTGATCTTATTTTGAATGCCGAAATTCCAGATATTTACTCAATGGACATAAGATTTATTTATTATTTACGATGAATTAGATACTCGTACTACTTTGTTATAAAACCAAACATGTAGTTACAGTAATCTTTTGCAAATAACAAATGTGCTCTTCAAACAATAGGATTGGATTTATTCAATGTAAACACTAAGAATAACCAACAAAGAAGATCTTTGCAATTGGTTCCTTCTGGTGCTGAATCAGGCAGTACACCGAGAGACAATCCCCTACTCTTTTCCGAAGAGTGCACTGGATTCTTTAACGTGCAATGAATTGGTGGCTTAATGTCTCATCTGAAAGATGGTGTGCTATTAGCATCCCATGAAATTAGGAAAAAATTAGGTCAGCAAAAATTTGCCAACCTTAAATTCTCCGAGGTTGGCAGCCTCAGCAATTTTTTACTACCTAGGCCAATATAGTATAAACTTTTTTCTTCATCTACAGATTGTGATTTTGTTAATTTCTCTTAAATCTATATATTGCTGGTGAAAGAATGGTCGTACTTGTATTAATTTAAGTGTAGTATAATATTATGTTTTACATAAGAAAATCGCCGAATAAATTCCGTTTTAGCGTTCGTTTTATCGTTATCTTTGGCATGGGAACTTTTGTAAAAGCTACGATCGTATCATCACAGGCTGCTTCAAAACTGCCCATGCATGTCCATGTCCAGAATGATCTATCAGGGATTTTCCACTCGTGTACAGTACTTGTCAGTAGAGTCACGAATGCGATCGTGATTGCGTTTAAATGGATGGTAGGATTAGGCCTACAATATGTTGAATTTTGTTGTTTTTAAATAATAAACAACATTT